TAAATAAATAATTAAAATAAAATATTTATATTTATTTATTTTTTTAAAAAATAAAAACAAAAATAAATTAAATAATTTACTCCTTCGGAAGGATTGAAAATAGAGAAGGACAGGGTTCCCTCTCCCTCTATCTCCCTCTCCCTTCGTTAAAATGATTTATCCAAACATAAAAGATTGCTCTCTCTCCCTCACTCTCCTCTCCTTCCCCTCTAACTTCCTCAATCCAGACAAGGGGCGAAACATTTACCTGATTCCAAAAACTCTGACGGCCTTCTCACCGAAGAGAAGGGTCTTTTCATCCTCGACCTTCAATTCATCGTGATTCCACTGATCGTGAACGCTGTCGCACTTGAACATATAAATCTTGGGCATAAAAATCTGCATTATCCAAACACCACCATCACCGTAAGCACCAAGAAAAACAAAATCCAAAATCTCCATAAATCACTTAAACCAGGAATCAAAATCAAAACTAAACGATCTCACTCACCATGCCATCAGTGGAGATGAACGGTTCGTAAACAGCAACAAGCCAAACATCCTTCCTCGGAAAAGGAGCCCTAACGACCAAACAGCCGGTGTTTCCAAATCCTGAAATCACATTTTAACCCTGTTGTTTCAGAGTCTAACAAACCCAAAAACCAAATCAAACCAAGTATCAGATTCTCACCATCCATTCCGATCTTGATCTTGTTCTCAGAAGCTGCAGAAATCGAAAAACCCAGATCAAAAAAAGAAGTAAAACGAAATCAACCCAAAAATTGTTTCGGCTTTTGGTGAGTACCCATGGCGATGATAGCAATGAAGAGATGAGATTCAAACAAAGCAGTAGAGAGCAGAGAGCGTCTTGATGAGATTTAGAGGGGACGGTAAGAAGCAGGGTGTTTTTATAATATAAATGAGTAATGGCCTTCAGTAGAAAAAGAGAATTTAAAATAGAGAATACTATGGAAGTAGAGAAGAATAGCAATCACAATGAAGAGGCACACGAACGCGTTGATGAGCTCGTTGCAAATAGACGGCATAATAACTCTGCATCGGACAACGAAGTTTCTTTATTAGTTTATTTAAAGGAAGAAGAGAGAGAGAGAGAGGAAGAAGAAGTGGGGTTGCCACGTCACGTGAGCGCAGGTAGGGATGGGTTGGTGGATTCCAAGGGATTAGGGAAGACTTGGGGAGAGAGAAAAGATGCGTTATCCGCTATTGGGTTTGGGACATTCAATTCAACTGTTAAGTGTTCCAAAATTTGGGGTGACTTATAGTTCGAGGTTGTCCTTTTTTCTCAGAGTGTTTTTTTTATCACGTGCTTTTAAGATAAAAATAAAATAATAAATATTAATTAAGGTATTTTATATTAATTATAAAAATATTTTTGTAAATTAAGTCATTATTCTAATTAAGAATTTTTTTATTTTATATAAGATTAAAATACTCTCATTTATTTTCACTGCTCACTTTCTTTTTCTAGCTTTTCCTTCCCCATCTTCCGTCTCCACTCTTTAGTTTTCCAAAATTTTTCTCTCTCCTCCTTCCCAATCCAATCCAATCCAATTGAAAATGATTTATTTCAATAAGAGCTTTCAATAGGAGATAGTCTTATTTTACTAGTTTTATTTTCATTTTTTGCATTAAAATATTTACAATGATTCTTTAAAAAATTAAAAATCTATAAAATTTAACATTAAAAATAAAAAAATAGAGCATTAACGCATCATAAAATCAATTTTAAGACTAGCATATGATAAAAAGAATATAGAATTATCCTATTCCTACAAACAAAAATAAAAATTTACAGTAACAACTAACAAGATTAACATAATTTTATCTTCAAATCATAGTGTAGAATCATTTTAATTAAAATTATAATAAAATAAAAAATTCTCATGTACTTTATCTAAAACACAAGCAAAATTAGCATCGACATAATTTACTTTCCTTATAACTGTACTCAAGACAAAAAATAACCAAAATTAACGTTTCCTTCTAATATTTCAGAGCAAAAGCAGGTTCAAATCACCTTCATCTAAAACAACTTTTTTTTCAAATCACCTTCCTCTAAAGCAACTTTTTCTGCTTCTGAGCACATTTAGAACATACTTACTGCCACATTATATTTTTGATGGGGACTTCTCAACTAACGCACCATGTTCTTCAATTTTTGTAACTAAATTAATTAGGATCTGTCACTATAACAGATGGTTTTCAATTGGGTTGGACTCGGGCAGGAGAGAGAAAAAATCTGGGGAACAAAATGGAGGATGAAGATGAAAAGATTGAAAAAAAGAGTCCGTGGTAGAAATAAATGTGGACATTTTAATCTTATAAAAAGTAAAAAACACTAATTCAATAATGACTTAACTTTTATCAATTAATAAATGATTACTATCATGTACCTTCAGCATAGAAAATCCCTTTTTCTAAATCCAACTTTCTTTTAGAATTTTTTTTTTGTTTTGCATGCTTTTGGATTCTTCTAGGAATGAGGACAGAAAACATTTCCTATTTTTGTGAATTAAAAAATTCAAACCTACATCTTCACATGGTTGATCACGATCTTTTTTTATTATTTATAATTAACAAAAAAAGTAATATAATTAAGATTATATCAAATTATATTATATTAATTATTAAATAAAAATAAATATTTAATATTAGAAATTTTTTATTTTATAATTTTTATTTTATAATTAAATATAATATGAATTATAAAATAAAATTTTTAATAATTAAAGTCTTTTTATATTTTTTTTTACATATTTCTTTAAGCATGCACCTCCAAATTATTATGATGGTTACAAAAAATTTATTAATTTCATTAGATATTAATCCTAAAACTTAAATTATAAATCTAAGTTAAAAAGACAACCATCACAACTTATTTCTTCTCTATTTTTTTCATTTCTTTTTGGAACACAAGAATTTTATAGTAGTATTTTATAGCAGTATGATTGACATAAGAAGAGATAAAAATATGAGCTTTTCAATTAATTAAATTATTTTTATAAAAAATTAATTAAATAATAGTGCTTTTAAATATTGTTATATGATTGATTAATAATTCATCCCTCACCTCCTCTCTTTTTTATTTTTTTCAAACTAAATATAGTACTAATATTAAAGAATATAGGGAAAGTTTTTACATGACTCAAATAATATATGCTTACGAACAAAGGATGGACTCTTTTCTAATGCAAAAATTATAACAAAAATTTTAAGAACAAACGAACTAAAATTTGAAACTAATAATATGATATAAGTCATATTATTTAAAATATTAAAATATAGACTATATATTATTTAGAAGAACGATCTATTTATACATAAATTTTACATACTATACTTATATAAGATTTTAACTACTTATTTTTTTATTTTTAATGATTAAGATTTATCACGATTTTTAAGATAAAAAAGATAATTATCTTTAATAAATATGAACAAATTTCAACAATTAAAAAGTAAATATGTTGAGGTTTTTTATAAATTTAATATGTAATACTTATGTGTTAATGAATCTTTGCTTTATTATTTAATAATTAGTTCTTTTACTTTATTATAAGAACTCATAATATTATATATATCAATATATATAATAATATAACCTATACAACATTATTAGTTTTATATTTTTTTTCCATCTATTAATATATTTGTTGAACTCAGCAATTTATTGCTTGGATAATTAACAAAAATTACAATTTGTTTCTGACTAACTCCCTAATCTTCCTATAAGCCCTAACAAATTATATTCATTAGAACGTTTAAATTTAGAACAGTTTATCTAACTCTGTGCGTGAAGTTTGATATCAGTTTTGCCACTGAATCATGCTATTGGCCAAGCAACAAAGATCTTTAGACACCATGCAGGGTTCAATAATAAAATAATAACAAAAAGATTTTAGAGATAATTTAACTGACTAAGAGTATATATAAAATTTTAAGTTAAAAATTTTAAATTTAAACATTAAATCAAATGGAAAGGGGTTTTAAAAACGAAGAAGATTATTCCTTCTTCTATATCTGATTAGCAGATATATATATATATATATATATATATATATATAAACAAAAACAAAAAACAGTGCCACACGTTGCACGGTAGAGTTAATAATATTATTTAGCATATAAATTTGTATTTTGTTTATGCATATATGAAAAGTAAAGGGTTAAAAGTATTAGTTATATTTTTTAAAATGGTTTGTTTAATTGTGCTTTTAAAACATATTTTAAGAATGTATTAATTATATTTTTTAAAATTTAATTTCTATAGAAAGTAAAAAAAAGTTAATTTTTTTATCATTAATATCACATACATATTTTTAATTAAATAATTGATAAAATTAAAGTTTTTTATAAAATTATTTGACACAAATTAATTACAAAAATATAAAACAAATATACTCTTATCTTATGCTGTTATAAATAATTAGAAAACATACTTGCGAATATATGTTAAGTCTGTGTGTTATTTGATATTTTAGTGTTTAGATGATTTGGACAGTTTTTTTTTTTTTTTTTTTTAATAACACTTCATTATTTTTGCTTTGACTGTTTGGTTTCTAGCAATTAAAGATTCACCCATATTTTTTGAAATGTGATGAGATTAAATTATATGAATATTTGTTTCTCGAGATGGGCAAAGAAGGCCAGTACCAAGTATGTTGAATAATATTCATACTTGTTTTTGAAATAAAGTCAATCAAATTAGGCATCTATTAAGGGGTGATCCGCTTCTGATTGAATTCATGATTCCTTGGAGTATATTTTATAACTATTTGAGTATATTATGATCATAATTTTATTAAAAGAAAAATGGGGGTATGATTTTATTTTATAGTATATAATAAGAGACAACTTATATGCCAATGACTTTAACAATTCAATAGTAATTTTTTTTTTCATTAAAAATAAAAGGTTTTAAGTGTAAATGACATAACATATGAGTGTAGTGAAATAAAAAATAAAAAAACGTTGGCTCTCATTGTGTAGTTTAAAGAAAAAAAAAAAAAGAGACAACTTATGTTTGATTTTTTAGTTGATCTCACTAGTATTGAATTTAACTCGAATCATGGTCCATTTATTTTCATTGCACTGTTGAGTTTAATATAAAATCTAATCTTCAACTCCACTAAACTCTTCTTAAGAAAAAAAAGCTTATTTGCACCATTAGTAGAGTTAGAGAATTTATCTACTTTATTTTTAATTTAAGGGATTAAATGTTATTTTTGGGGTAAATTTGAGAGTTTAAGAAGTGTTTTTGCCTAATATAAATTCTAATCTTGACAGTTAAGTTTCCTCCATATGGTAGGTTTCCTTTTCTTATCATTGACTATATATAATTAAACCGACCAGATGTTTTAATGAAAATTCTTGTGTATTGTTTCTGCAATTAAAAATGTAAATTATTAACATTCAAATTAATTTTTTACCAGAAAATAATCTTATGATCTAGTGACTATTAATCTTTATAAAAGATTTTTCATCCTAGATTAGAATCACTAAACTATAAAAAATTAGTTGTATTGTGGATAACCGGTACACCATGTCTGTCTCTCTCTACCCAATCAAATACTGGCAGCTCACGTGAAAAAATAATTCGAAAAATTAAGTTAATATTGTTGCTGGGAATGGCTTACGCCGTTCCAAACTGCTATCCCCAATCCTTCACGCACTCGACTTTTCATCCTCAACCTGACTTCTCAATCCACCGACTTCGAAGCCACCAGTCCCACCCAGACCCTACCACCACGGCGACCTCTTGGAAATAAATTAATACAAAATCAAACTACTACAACTCCATTATTTCGCGACAAAAGTAGTTAATAAGGAGCCGAACCTTTTTTGATTTATTATACAAAGAGTC